CAGCCCATCACAGGACACACACACACACCCTGGACAGGACACCAGTCCATCACAGGACACATGCACACACACACCCTGGACAGGACAGCAGCCCATCAGAGGAGACTCACCAGATAGACCCAGACACCCAGACACACACTCACACCGGACGCCCCCACTCACACTAGTGCTTGTTTTCCCAGAAGCCATTTTAACCCACCAGCATGTCTTGGGCCTGTGGGAGGAAACTGGAAAGGCTGACAGCCGTTCAGCCAAGCAGTCAGAGATCTATTTATGACAGAATGTATTCTTTTAATTCTGTACATTTTCAAGTAGATATTGGCCAGGAAATCATTCCCGTGTGTGCGGAAAGTGATTCACATCAGGGTACAGGCATGTCTTTCATAGTGCCAGTGTGGAACAAGAGTAGAGGCTTTGAAATCCGAGAACTTGAGAAAGGTGACCAACAAGAGCAGACCCTTGGTCATCTGGTCGACTCGAAGGGCAGGATCATGTGACACACCTGGCGCTCAGAGACACAGCAGTGGTGCTGGGAACACCCTCTCAAGAGTGTGTCTGTCTGTGAGTGTGTATCTGCCTGTGTGTGTCTCTGTGCGTGCTTGTGTCAGTGAGTGTCTATCTGGCTGTATGTGTGTCCGTGTGTGTGTGTCAGTGTGTATCTGCATGGCTGTGAGTATGTATCAGCCTGTGTGTGTGTCTGTGTCCGTGTCAGTGTGTATCTGCGTGGCTGTGAGTGTGTATCTGCCTGTGTGTGTGTTTGTGTGTGCATGTGTCAGTGAGTGTGTAACTGCCTGTGTGTGCCTGTGAGTGTGTATCTGCCGGTGTGAGTGTGTGTCTGTGCATGTGTTTGGGAGTGAGTGTGTGTCAGTGAGTGTGTCTGCCTGTGTGTTGTTCTGTGACTGTTTGTGCGTTTGTCTGTGAGTGTGTGTCTGCCTATGAGTTTCTATCACTGCGGAGTGGTGGCTCTGTGGCTCAGGATCTGCACCTGTGGCTGGAAGGTTGCTGGTTCAAATCCTGCAGCTGGCAGAGGAATCCTACTCCATTGGGCCCCTGAGCAAGGCCCTTAACCCCAACTTATCTCTGTGAGTGTGTCTGCTTTTTAATGTGTGTGTGTGGTTGAGAGTGTGAGTATCTGAGTGTGGTAAGGAAAGCAGGTGTTTCCCTGTTTCCTCGTTTGACCCCTCTGATCCTCCGTACAGGATGTGAACAGGATGGGGTGTGACGGACTGTCAGTCGCCCCCAAACCCCAGGGAGAACAGGAGCAGGAATGCAGCCCAATCCTAGACGTGCTTGTAGGGCAATTGTGACTGTCGCGGTTCCGCGCGGGCTCGTGCCCTCGCCAGTCCACCTCGCCGGTTCGTCCCGCAACAGCTGGGGCACAAACCCGGGTCTCCGGCGTAACGCAACAGGGAACCAGCCAAATGAGCTAAAGTAGACCCCCCCCAGTCTAGGCGGCTGAGGTCCCTGCTACACGCAGGGAGGGCGATGACGTCACCGTGTCCGAACTAGCTCTGCTACACAATGTTGAGACCATGTGTTTATCAGCAAACCTTATCAGCCCTGAACTCACCAGCACACACACTGTCACACCTGACTGTACTGTAGACACTACTAGTGTCACTGCTGTCCCTCTCCTCTCACACTCACCCTGAACTCACCAGCACACACACACTGTCACACCTGACTGTACTGTAGACACTACTAGTGTCACTGCTGTCCCTCTCCTCTCACACTCGCCCTGAACTCACCAGCACACACACTGTCCCTATCCTCTCAAATCAGGAATGTTGTGGCTTAGCAATGTGAGATCGGGACACCTACAGATAGAATCAGGAACTGCAATGGCTTCCTCTGGTATTTCCCTCAGTGTTTGTCTGTCTTGTCCCACTTACAGTCCGCAGGAGGAAAAATGACTCTTGGGGCTCTGATCAGATGATTTAGCATTTTCTTTCAAAACAGGATGCAGCACCTTTCCAGGAGGTCGAGATAGTATCTCAGTTTTCGGGGGAGGTGTGAAAGCATGGGTCATGTATAAATCAGCAGAAAATGTGCTTGACATGACCTTCATGCTTCATTTCCTGTTTTGCGACTCATCGTCTAAGAGGTTTAGAGAAACTGCAGTAACTGAGGTTGTTGATGCGCTTGCAAAACGTGTGCACGCGAGAGATGTGACAGAGACAGTCAGGGGATCCGGTCATGGACTTTAGCCCTTCTGTGCCCAAACATAAGAACTTTCACAAACGAGAGTTTTC